AAGCTATTTGTTGTAGGGTTTTGCCCAATCTTAAACAGCATATTTTCGCTGTACACCTGAAACTAACACAATATTGTAAATCAACTATATTCCAATAAAATTTTTTTAAAGTATATTTTCTTTAGGTACTTGGGATGAAAATTAAACTGATTAGGTAAAATTAAAAAGCCCAATAGAAACACAAAAAGGTACCTCTTTTAACAGCCATCTACAGTTTACCTGTGGATTAATTTGTTAATTAATCCACATAAAAGAATGAATTAGCAAGGGATGATGCAGTTCAAACCTTATAAATTACAACTGGGGCCATATGATTAATTAATTTAGGTTAAAAGCAAATGGCTAACTACCTCACATTCAAAACTTTGCTCAAATGTTATCTCTTCAAGAGGCCTCCGCTAACCCATTTAAAACTGCAACCCACTCCCTTCCCCCACACTCCCATATCATATCTTTAATCTGCTCTCCCCTAATCCTATGGCTCTTAACTAATATATACAGTTTGCTAATTTAATGTCTCATTTATTGTCTGGTTCCTCACACTGGAATGTAAACAACTGGAGGGCAGCTATCTTTCCTTTTATTCATTAATATATCCCAAGCACCTACCTGTGTACCTCCATTGTACACAGATTTTCAATAAATTTATGTATTGAATGTAGTTTTTTTTAGGCTCCTCTATAAGAAACTTAATTTAAAGAGACAAAAATCTCACCAATATTTAAATGGAAGCATGATGAACAATTACAATGAACTGCAGCATAATTTCTAAGTTGCAATGCCTTAAGAGAAAGAAGCAGTGAAAGTACTAAGCTGAAAATTACTAAGAAAGTTTTCATTCACACTTAGTCCTGTATCCAAAGAAATTCTAATACTGTATTATTTTAGGGTCTGGAATACAGTAATAGGATTATAAACCTGTATCTACATCTATCTATCTATGGATACATACACATGCAACACACACACACATATATATATATATATATATATATATATATATATTTTAACAGGGAAGGGAACATGGAAAAGAAAGATACGGCTTAACCAGTGGTAATTCCCAATCGTGCTGTGAAATTACAAAAAAAGGTACCAAAAAATAATTTGATCTTATACTAGCAGCTAATAAAAAATACTTTTAGATGAACGAGGAAGGTTAACCAAAAACAGAACAAAGTTTTAGAATAAGTTCCTCAGGACTGTCATTCCTCTACGTAGCAGAAGTATCAGCACAATAGCTATACCATGTATCCTCATTAGTATTAACAGTTACAATTTTCAAACCACCTTCACATTCATTAATTAAATCCTCAGAGAAACTGAAGTGAAAGATAAACAGGTAACTAATAAAAGCACTTAATTATGTATGCACTCGATAGTAAATGCAACTTTTCCCTTCAAAATCCCCCAAAGTGTTTGACAAACTACAAAAAACCATTCTATAAAAGAGCCACCTTTTCAGCACTGGAAACTAACACAAGTCTCCTGAAGAGTATTATGGCACAGCTAGCAAGAGCCATAAAAAACTTGAAGCCCTCTGACCTAGTAAAACCACTCCTGGGAACTTTCTCTAAGGAAATAATCAGACTGAAGCAAAAAGCTCTTAGTATAAAGATGTTTACTGCACCACCATCTATAATAGCAAAAATGTGGAAACCCAAATCCCCAGAATAGAATGATTAAGCAGAAACTTTAAAAAGAAAATTTATAATGCAGTGCTAAGAAGAAAAAAGCTGAACACAAAATAACATACACAATCACTAAAACCACATAAAAATCAAAGGGGCAAAAATAAGAATTGGATTAAGGTAAAATTATGTTCACACTTTAACACTGTGTTTACATTAATCTAAGAGAAAACAGCCACCTTCTAAAGCATATGACAATTAAAGACAATAAATTTTTGAAAGCCATGAAAATCCACTGTTTACAACAAAAAAATTCAAATACGAAATGTATTATTTAAAGCAGACATGTGAGTTTCTAGACTTTCAAGAATATTCTGCTGTCTATAAACATGGCAAACCCAATGCTCCATTTTTTTAATTCACCTTTGGTCCCAGAAACACATTTGAACTGCTGGTACACGCAAGCATACGTCAAGTAACTCTAGAAACTGTAAATGGTTTATAAAGAACCCAGTAACAATGATTCAAAATGGAAAGGAATTCTACAAGTACATTAACTAAAGAACATGTACAAGAACAAAATTTCACACTATACGAATCCAATACATTAAACGAAACTTCACATATTCATCAAAAAGAATAAGGGCTACATACAATTTATGACTCAAAGAAAAGAACTTAAAGCAAGCAAGAATCTAAATTAATCTTAAATGTTTGTGAAGTCTCAAGGAACAAAAAAGATCTGTGGTATTAAAACATTCCAAGTATTTTTGATCACTCAAGCCACTCTGGAACAAATTCTCTAATTTTTAAGCCTAAGGAAAACTGATGCAATCTAAAAACCTTAGTTTTCATTTTTAATTATTTAAACACGTTGAATATATCTGCCAGATTTCTATCTGATCCCAAAAAGGAAAAAACAGTGCATCCTTCTTTATAAAAATTATACTTAAATTTTTTCCAAAAATTTTTTTTTTTTTACTATGGATGCCACTGGAAAAGGGGAAATGAAGTTACAGAATTGTATGTGGACAGAGCTGGGAAAATAAGCACTTCATTTTAACTAGTTTTGATAAGTAGCAATTGTAGATGCTTCAAAGGCGAAATGGGGAGTGGGGGGCGGGGCGGGGGGGGGTAGGGTAGAAGTCAAGAAAACCAATGTTCCTAACTGTCCCACACTGAAGGCAGAATTCCTTAAAAAAACCAGCTCTGGGGCCTTCCTGGTGGCTCAGTGGTTAAGAATCTCCCTGCCAATGCAGGGGACACGGGTTCGAGCCCTGGTCGGGGAATTAAGATGCCACATGCCGCGGAGCAACTAAGTCCGTGCGCCACAACTACTGAGCCTGCGCTCTAGAGCCCACGCGCGTGCCACAACTACTGAAGCCCGTGCGCCTAGAGCCCGTGCTCCGCAACAAGCCATCGCAATGGGAAGCCCGGCACCGCAAGGAAGAGTAGCTCCCGCTCACCGCAACTAGAGAAAGCCCGCGCCCGCGCGCTGCAAAAATAAAATAAATAAAAATTTAAAATTTATTTTAAAAAAATCAGCTCTGAATCATCTTGATGGATAAGTTATCCTGCCATAAATGATAATTCTTTGGAAATGGATTGCTAAAAACCTGTTTTCAAAAAGAAAACTGAAAAAAAAAGAAAAAAAAGAAAAAGAAAACTCTGCACCAAAAAATACCCTTATCCCACCACCTGCTAAAGCCAGGAGGTCTACTTAAGGAGGACTCTCATCACCGAGCCTGCCAACCCCGCCTAGGCCTAAGGGGAGGCACGGCAGTGCCGGCAACACGGATGGGCTCGGGGCACAGGGGACATGGACTGGCCTGCCCTTGGCGATCTCTGGCGGCAATCCCCAAGGTAAGAACACTGGCCACAATGGAATGCAATCTATTGACATTTGCTGCCCCGTCTGAACACTAAGCATTTTCTTAGTTCGCGAAATGCGAACTGACAACCCCCCCACTCCCCCCCACGCACCCCACACCAGGCCTCCAGAGCCAGACCCGGTCGGCTGAGGCGACGTGAGACCCCAGTCTGTACCACAAACCTGGGTCAGAGTGAAGTAGGGTAGGCGACGCAAGTAAACACCGCATTTCTGCCTTCCGGAACCCCACCGTGCCTCCTGCTGACATCCCTCTCCTCTGGAAATTTATAAATCAGGGCAAGGACTGGGAAAAAACACACAGCGTGCCCGCCCCCTGCCGCCAACACCCGCTACGTCCCCGGTCCGGCCTGAGCTGCCGCGCCTGGGGCCGGCCTTCGCCCACCACTATTCAAAGGCGCCTTCTCCTCCGCGGCCTCGGAACAGCAATGCGTCTCGGCCGCCACCCGCGCCAGAGAGGCCTTGCGGGGAAAGGAGGGAGGCCGGGAGGGGGTCGGGCACTCCCCCATCCCTTCCGCACGTGGGGGAGGGCGGAACGCTGCGGGAAACTGCACAGAGCCCCACGATTCCCGCGGAGCTCTGGAGCCCCCGCCGCCGCCTCAGACTTAAATGGGAAGGGCTGCGGGGGTCACTGCCCACCCACCTCCACCCGGTCCTTCGATCTCTCCCTGGGCAGGGAAGGGCGTGGGTAAGGAGACTGCACAGACCCTCATGACTCCAGCTGAGGCTGTGGCTGCCCCTTTAACAGGCGTGAGGGGGGGGGGGACGACACTGCCCTAACTTTCCCCCCCTCCCTCGTTATTCCCAAACGGGGGAGCTGGCAAGTTTCGGGAGACAACCTAAACCTAAAGACCCTTCCACGTTAATATTTAAAGGAGGTGGGAGCGCTGCCCAAGCATCCCCCCCACTGGGGGCGGAGGAGCCTTAAAGAAGGTGATCGAGGGCTGACAATCGCCGAGACCTGTGAAGCCTCCCGAACACTTAAATGGAGAGGGGGAGGCTGCCGAGTCCTTCCATCTTGACCGTTTGAGAGAGGGGGTGGGGATGTTGCAGGAGGATGGACACCGCCTGACATTCCCAGAGGGATTCGGCGCGCCCCCTCACCCTACCGGCACCAGGCTCTAGACGGGGGCGCCACCCCCACTGAAGGCCCCCAGCCCACCCCGCCCCCCCAGCCCAGGCAGTCACGGGGCGGGGACCGCGGTGCGGGCCGCGGGGGAGGGGACGCGAGGCCCGGGCTGGTCCAGGCCCCTAAGCGTAGGGGGCTG